AGGTTCTCCGCGACTCCGAATCGGCATCGGCCCTATTGGGCCCCATCTGTGGTGGTCTGATGGCTTTTTGAGGCGCGCGCGGAACGCGACGCGCCGTACGCTCGGCTCTGTTTCTGGTCGGACGGGGAGCCACCCATGCTCGCCGTCCGCAGGCCCGCGCTTACGGTGGTCGGAGATCGTCTCGCGATCCCCGACGCCCGGTGTGTCCTTCGCGATGGCTGCATGCCTTAGCTAGCATGACTGCTTCGTAAAAGGAGGAGACGGCATCCCAGACCCCTCGATCCGCATCATGGCCCGCACTAGGCCCGGACGCGAGAGGTCGCCATCGCCGACACACCACGCAGGGCATTCTCCCACCATGTGTTCCACCGTGTCCTCAGGGCGGTCCTCGCAGTGATGACACCCGGGCGTTTCCTCCTGCCCCATCAGACACAGGTACCTCCCGAAACTTCCATGTCCGGTGAGGACCTGCGTCAGGCGGTAGGTGAGGACGCCGTAGAGTCTCTCAAGCCACTCCTCAAAGAGGGGACTTACCGCTGCAATGGCAGCGAGCCCAGCCCTCGTTGGAGGTAGTATAGATCGTAGCAAAGAAACCAAAATAAATGTAAAATACTATAGAAATTAATATCCAATTGCAGATGAGGTAAGTCTTGAAACATTTGCCAATGTCGATGCTTTTGTGTATTGTCTGTAACATGACTATGAGTAACATATTGTCACGTCTATGTGTGATATTAATAATCAAGACAGTTATTAAGCCAAGGTGGAATTCAAATAAAAAAGCAAAGTTTAGAAACCTGGAAACAATATTTGCATAGGGATCAGACACAGATAGATTATTATAAAGTGACATTATGATCCCTATACCTGAACACAACGATGTAGGTAATTATTGTAGCTTTCCTTGATTTATAGGCTATGTATATTTTTAATCGAATATTTATCAGAGAAAATTAAACGAAGGGTAAGATTAAAAGGTCGAAGCCATTGCTGGATATCTTTCTCGAGATAATAAGATTTGCCAAAAGTAATATATTCTCTAAATGTACTTATCGACATATTTTGATATTTTTATTATTATCCGTAGACACAAAACAGGTCCATAAGAATCTTAATAGAAAAGTTATTAACGCTTATAAGAATCTACTCATTATCGTAACGTTTATAAAAATTTCAATGTCTTTAAAAGCACACTGTCATTTGAATAAATTATGTTTACTGATTATTGGAGTATTTAATTCTGTGGCCGAATTATTAAGACATATTAATCAAGATAAGTTATTGTCGATAGATAGGAACACACATTTTTTTAAAGTATTTGAAAGTAGCTCACATGAATCCCAATCGATACCAAATACAAAATGATATTCAAAGAATATTTCGACCTATTAATTTCGCCTTTACATTACTATGTGCATCACAGTACAAAATAAAAAACAATATCATAACTCCAATTGGGATGAAAAACATGTGTTTATGGTTTTCCGTGGTTATCATTGCCCTTATTTTATTTGCATTCAATATGTATAGCAACAAATCTAATGTGGATGAAACCATCTTAAATATTTTGTCCTTTCTAAAAGTATTTTATGTTATTTATTGTTGTACTGGTTTCTTTACGATTTTTGTTACTAAAGTCGTTAATCGTAGCAACAACTGTCGACTTATTGTGATGCTGCAAAATATTAATTATAGTATTAACTGTCAAAGGAGAATCAACCAAATTATCGTCTGCAACTGGGTCTATGCTATAAGCACTTTTATCATTAACATAGTTGCTGTGTCTGTCTATTATGTTCTTAGTGATTTTGATGTGATCAATATTATGTTTGATTTGTGCTATATAAATTTTGACATGAATATTGTTCACGGTGTTTGTATTTTGATGATGTTAACCAAATATTTGACTGAATGGATCAAAAGTGTGTCATTATTAGATGAAGAAGAAATTTGCGCTAATTATGTCTATTTATTTAAGGTAGCATTTCAGACGTATGACTCTATTATAAAGGCGTATAATCTGTGTAAAAAGCTGTTTGAAGTATTGGTAAGAACATTTCTTACATTAGTGCCTTTTCTGTCTTCGTTTTAAAACTGATAGAAGATTCAACCGAGTACAAACAGTAAAACTAATATCAAGCACAAAAGCATGCTTAATTCGAGCTCTTGTCACTTGGTACCAAGATATGTGTCGCAATGTCGCTCAAAATTAGCACGCTCATTTGGCCATACTTTTAAATCGACAAGATGTTCGTTTTTTGAGCATGCCCAATAGAACGCCTTAGTTAGCATGCTATTTTAGAGCTTATAACATTACCTAAATACTACTGATATTGTTTATGTTAGGCTTTTTCGATCCATAATAAATGTACCTACATAGTAACATTTCAAATATCTCGTTTGTAATTTATTGAGCGGTGAACATTCCGTTTAAGAATACTATGTATTTTTAAATCTTCACAGATCCTATTTTATACCGTGGATACGTACTGTCGAGTTTTGCTATACTGTGAATCAAGTCTACAAGAATTGAAAGAAATTACTCGTATAAATATTGCGGTAAACATTTATTTATTTAGCTATGCAATGTATGCATGCCGTGCATGCTCCATCCACACTGGGATTTTCTCTTTGTATCATTATGTATCTGTGTATTTAAATAGCAAACTGTTACCGTGAAATATGAGCAGTGTCGTCATGCATCGTCGTGGTGGACCTAAGGTTTAAGATACCCGCTTTTCATGTACGGGTTCAAAACCTACCATCACCAAAACACCAATATTGACTTTTCCAGAGATATATGCACTTTCTTGATTATTTAGACACCACTGAGAGACGGTGAAGAAAAAACATCGTGAGGAAACTTGGACAAATAATTTATAATTATAAGTTTGAAATCACCAATCCACATTGAGCTAGGGTTGTGATTAATGTCTTCTCCGTGTGAGAAGAGGCCTTTGGTCAGCAGTGGCCACTTTTAGGCTGTTGACGATGATGATGAAAATCTCCTAAAAGTTTTTGTACCAATGCGAGCAGAAGAATCAGCCCAGCTGTTCAGCATGTATGTCCTAAGGTCCTAAACGGTTTTAGCTACGATGACGATCTCATCTGCAAATCTCAAGTATGAGATATACTTGCCGTTTATATTGAGGAAATAAAAAAAAAATACAAAATAAATGAGTTTTTCCTTTTCAGGTTAGTCTAATGCTTCTTACTTTCAACTGGTTTGTTAAAAATATGATCATATTGGTGGCACTCAGTGTTTATTGTGAAAAGTTTTACATT